GGGTGTCGACCCCCCCCCCGGGTCAGATACGACGCCCCCCCCTGGGACTCCTCTTCCCCTGGGCTCCAGCCAAGCCGACCTTGAGCAACCCCTGGGCTCCAGCCAAGCCGACCTTGAGCAACCTCGTAATTGAGTCGAAGGGAAGCCCCTTCCCTTTGATCCCTCCCCCGCCGGGAGGGGGGGGGGGGTGTCGACCCCCCCCCCGGGTCAGATACGACGCCCCCCCCTGGGACCCCTCTTCCCCTGGGCTCCAGCCAAGCCGACCTTGAGCAACCTCGTAATTGAGTCGAAGGGAAGCCCCTTCCCTTTGATCCCTCCCCCGCCGGGAGGGGGGGGGGTAGCGACCCCCCCCCCGGGTCAGATACGACGCCTGGGCTCCAGCCAAGCCGACCGTGAGCAACCTCGTAATTGAGTCGAAGGGAAGCCCCTTCCCTTTGATCCCTCCCCCGCCGGGAGGGGGGGGGGGGGTTGTCGACCCCCCTCCCCGGGTCAGATACGACGCCCCCCCCTGGGACTCCTCTTCCCCTGGGCTCCAGCCAAGCCGACCTTGAGCAACCTCGTAATTGAGTCGAAGGGAAGCCCCTTCCCTTTCCGACCTTGAGCAACCTCGTAATTGAGTCGAAGGGAAGCCCCTTCCCTTTGATCCCTCCCCCGCCGGGAGGGGGGGGGGTAGCGACCCCCCCCCCCCGGGTCAGATACGACGCCCCCCCCGGGACTCCTCTTCCCCTGGGCTCCAGCCAAGCCGACCTTCAGCAACCTCGTAATTGAGTCGAAGGGAAGCCCCTTCCCTTTCATCCCTCCCCCGCCGGGAGGGGGGGGGGGTAGCGACCCCCCCCCCGGGTCAGATACGACGCCCCCCCCTGGGACTCCTCTTCCCCTGGGCTCCAGCCAAGCCGACCTTGAGCAACCTCGTAATTGAGTCGAAGGGAAGCCCCTTCCCTTTGATCCCTCCCCCGCCGGGAGGGGGGGGGGGGTAGCGACCCCCCCCCCGGGTCAGATACGACGCCCCCCCCTGGGACTCCTCTTCCCCTGGGCTCCAGCCAAGCCGACCTTGAGCAACCTCGTAATCTCTTGCTGCGCATTGCGAACAGGGTTGGCGGCACCGGCCGTCAGGCCTTCGCAATATGGAAACACCGAAAAATCCACTTGGACTTTTTTCGGGTGTGCGACAGTGTCGTGGATCCTCGATAGGTCTTGCGCGGATCCCATGTCCCGTGCGTGAAACAAAAACATGTATCCGTTGAACTAGATATACGACGATAATTAACATCCCTGACCAAGGGGACATGGGATCCGCGGGGCACCGCACGTGAAACGTCATGCGATCCACGGGCCTATGGATCTGCGAACCGAAGCTATGATTCTACGGGGGAGGGTCTTCACAGGCCGGAGAGGGAAGGATGAGGGAAGAGGCACGAAGCCGAAGAGAACGCGACATGTATCCGCTCACTTGAAGGGCATGTCGCCTCCGACATTTGGGGCTCCAGGGGACGATTTCTCGGCCTGCGTAAGAGGGATTTCGAACTGCGTCTCTCCCACTAACACCATGCACTCTTTCGCACATGTCTGGCGCGGGGTGCCGAATCCTTCAGCGGGATTTCGGACTGCGTCTCCCCCCCTACCACCACGCACTCTTTCGCAAATGTTTGGCGCGGGGTGCCGAATCTTTCACCAGGATTTCGACGTGCGTCTCCCCCACCAACACCCTGCACTCGTTCGCAAATGTTTGGCGCGGTGTGCCGAATTCCTCAGCGGGATTTCGAACTGCGTCACTGCCACCAAAACCATACGTTCGCTAGCACATTTCTGGCGCGGGGTGCCGAAACCTTTTCTCCCCAGGACGAACATGTTTACTCTTGGACAAAAATGTGAGAACGCCGATGGATCCAATCGGATCCTCTCTATTTTTCGGGTGTGCGACAGCGTCGCGGATCCTACATCTGTCTTGCGCGGATCCAATTTCCCGTGTGTGACAAATCAAATGGAACCATATATTTTCCGAGCTATATATATTATATTATCAATGGTAAAAATGATAATACGAATCATCATCATCCCAGACCCAGTGGAAATGGGATCCGCGGGGCACCGCGCATGAAACATCATGCGACCCACGGGCCTATGGATCTGCGAACCGGAGCTATGATTCTACGGAGGTTAAAAAGAGATCTTCCTAGGACGGAGAGGGGAAGCAGGGAGAAAGCACAAAGCCGAAGAGAACGCGACATGCATGCGCTCACCTGAACAGCGCGTCGCCTCCGACATTTGGGGTTCCAGGGGACAATCTTTCGGTCTGCGTAAGCGGGATTTAGAATTGCGTCTCTCCCACTAACACCATGCACTCTCTCGCACATATCTGGTGCGGGGTGCCGAATCCTTCTCCGGGAGTTCGAACTGCGTCTCTCCCACTACCACCACGCATTATTTCCCAAATCTCTGGCGCGGAGTGCCGATTCCTTGAGCGGGCCCCGCCGAAAAATGGGAAACCCAGAGGTCGCCAGAAACCCCTAGGGAATCTGGCGACCTATGGGTTTTCCAGAATTGTGCCCGCCAATAGATGGGACAAAATCATAGGTCGCCAGAAACCCGAGGGAGTCTGGCGACCTACGGGTTTCCCAGAACTGCACCCGCCGAAGTTGGGGAAACCAGTAGGTCACCAGAAACCCCGAAGGAATCTGGCGACCAATGGGTTCCCCAGAATTGCCAACGCTGAATTATGGGCAACCCATAGGTCGCCAGAAACCCCTAGGGCCCAGCGGATCGTGCGGCTGATGCGCTTCACTGGGCAACCCACAGGTCGCCAGAAACCCATTAGGGAATCTGGTGACCTTTAGGTCTCGCAGGATTGTACCCGCCGAGTTATGGGAAAAACCATAGGTCGCCAGAAACCCAATAGGGAATATCGCGACCCATGGGCTTCCCAGAGCTGCCCCCGCTGACATATGGGAAACCCAGAAGTCGCCAGAACCACCGAGGAGATCTGGCGACCTATGGGTTTCCCAGAACTGTCCCCAACACATTGCCCTGGACGAAAAGTACCCCGGCCGATGCCCGGCCGACCCCCCCAGGGCGCCCCAGGAGCGCGCCAAGAGGGCGCCGGGACGCCCCCTACACGGCCCAAGAAGCCCCGAGTCGCCGAAAGCTCGTCCCAAGACGCTCAAGATGGTCTCCATCCAGATGGCCCCAGAGGCCGCGAAAAAGCCCCAAGAGAGCTTCAGGCTCTCCAGGAGGGCCCCAACAAGCAAAAATCGCCCCATTCCCAATGGAAAACGTAGATTTTTCGCATGTGCGACGTGTGAGGGTTCACAGCGTCCAGAACTGCCCTAGAAGCCTCCAACATCGTCCCCAGACGGCCCAACACGCCCCCAAGATGGCCCCAAGACAGCCCAAGAGACGCCCAAGACGGACCAAGAGGGCCCCAAAACGGCCCCAAGAGGGGCCGAAAAAGGGGACCAGGACCTGAAAAGTCCAGCCTTCAGCCCCAAGAAGCTCCTAGGAGGCCCCAAGAGGCCACCAAGAGGCTCCAAGAGTCACCCCAAGCAGCCCCCCCAAGAGGCCCCCAAGAGGCCCCAACACGGCCCAAAAGAGGCTTCAAAACTGCCTCCCAGAGGCCACCGAGAGGCCATCCACGAGAGCCCAACCAGCATCCATGAGGCCTCTGACCCACCACCCACCGCTTCCGAAAAATGGCAGCCGCCCAACGGCACCGCATTGACAACAACACACCCAACGAACGACAGCGGCGAGGCAGTATGGGCCAGCGGAATGAGCGAAGAGAGTTGTTAATCTCAGAAAAAAAACCTCTGGAGGACTGTGAGCTTAGCCGTCTCGCCCTCTCGCTTCCAATCCCTTCCCTCGAGATGGTCGTCCCAGGGGGGCCCAACGGAACCTCGCCATCGCTCGGACGTCCATTCCCTGTGTTTTTTGTCGGTTTCGTGCGTGTTTTTTTCGCCAACTGATCAAGGATGCTCCTCGATGGTCCTCGCCGAGGAAAAATGCACACGTCCGAGCGATGCCAAGGAACCCCAAGGCGGTCCCACGAGCGCCCAAGAGCGCCCCAAGAGCGCCCCAGGAGGGCCCACGAGACGACTCCTCCGGCCCAAGGGGCAGGAAACGAATCGGCGCCGACCCCCCTTGTTTGACCCAAGATGGCCACACGAGGGCCCTTGAGGCCACCAAGAGACCCCCCAAGGGGGCTTCAGAGGCTCCCAAAACGACCCGACGAGGCCCCCAAGGATGATCCCAAGAAGCTTCTCAGAGGCTCCCACGACGACGTCATCGTCGCCGTCGTCCTACTCCTCATCCTTCCCCTCCTGCTCCTGCTCCTCCTGCTCCTCCCCCCTCTCAACGAAGAGACCACGGCGAGGCCAAAGTAGATGTTTAACCACTGTGATGATCTGATCGACGTGAGCGAGCACCGAACTGGCCCGAGAGCGCGATCGATCCAGCGATCGATCCTCCTCCTCCTCCTCCTCCTCATCCTCCTCCCACTCCTCCTACTCCCCCTCCTCCTCAAAACCCGCCCATCATCACTCCCCCCCCCCCTCCGCCTCTCCCCCTCCCCCCTCCTCCCTCCTGCTCCCTCTCCCCCCCCCCCCCTCCTGCCCCCGCCCCCCCTCCCCCCCCCCGCCCCGCCTCGCGCCCCCCCATCCTTCTCTGCAGCCCCGCGGCGCGCACCCTCGCCCCACGCCTGGGCGGCAGCAGCGCTGGGCCCGCCCCCCCCCCCCAGAGACGACGGTTGAGCAGGGACCGACCGTCCCGGCATTCCTATAGTCATACCACGAAATGTTCTCAGAACCCCAAAAAATGTCCCAAGAACAAAACAATGCTCTTAGAACACAGACTCGATGTGTTAAAACAAGCCAGTCCCGGCCAGAAGCGTTCCAAGAACATCCCGTGGGAACCACAAGAGGTTCTCAGAACACTGCTTGGTGGGGCCATAGGCGAGCCAGGACGCTTCGCCGCTGCGTGAACGACGCGGCACGCCCGGAGCGCGCGGCCTCACCGGCGAGGTGCGCTCGCCGGCGCCGGCGAGCTTCTCCTCGGGAGGGCGGAGAGCCGATCCTCGACCTCCCCTCCCCCGAGCCCTCCTCCTCCTCCTCCTCCTCCTCCTCCTCCTCCTCCTCCTCCTCCCCCGATCCCTCCCTCCTGGGCGGCCCTCGGGAGGGCGGAGAAGCGCGGAAGGGGGCGGCGGACCGCACGGGGGGGGGGGGGGGCGGAGGGGGTCCAGGAGGCTCGCGGAGGCTGCCGAGGAGCGAGGGCCGGGGGTCCGAGGGTTGAGGGCCGCCCAGGAGGGAGGAGGAGGGGAGGAGGGGGGAGGGGAGAGGAGGAGGAGGAGGCGGAGGAGGAGGAGGAGGAGGAGGAGGAGGAGGAGGAGGAGGAGGAGGAGAGGAGGGAGGAGGAGGAGAGGAGAGGAGGAGGAGGAGGAGGAGGAGGGAGGGCTCGGGGGAGGGGAGGTCGAGGATCGGGGGGAGGCTCTTCTGTGCGCTGGCGGCAGCGTCTTGGCATCGGCGGGCCCCTGGGGACCTCCGAAGCTGCGCAAGGCACAGAACAAGAACGCAGCACAGGAGGGCCGTCGCTGGAGAGTGCCCTGCGCACCAACACACAGCCACACACAGCACCGCTACCATTGCCTCATCCGTCCCAGACCCCCTGGAAGACAGGGCGCACGCGAGACTTCCCCCACGCTCGGCAGTGGGGTTGGCGACGCACGCCCCGAAGCGTCCCGGGGAAAAGGAGGAGGCGGGCCGATGGCGCCGACGCCTCCCTTGGCTCTGTCCCGGGACACCGCGCTGGTCAGAAGCACCTGCTGCAGCCACCACCGCCCGCTGCACCTGGCACCTCCACGGGCCGTGCTGCCCGCGGGCACTGCGCCACTCCACACCTGGACCTCCTCCCTCCTCTCCTATCCCTCCTTGCGACGTACCTCCTTGGTGGGAGGCGCGTCGCGCACACACTGCCCCCTGCACAACTTCGGCGCCTCCCTGTTCACCTGGCTTCTGCACCTCCTGGTGCTCCCCGCGTCGTACCTCCCGGGTGGGAGGCGCGTCGCCCGTTCGCCGCCCCTTGCGCCACTCCGGTGCTCCTCTGGCGCACCGCGCTCGCCCGCGCGTGTGCCGCCCTGCTGTGCTGCCAGGCCTCCGCCTCCGTCGGTGCTCCCCCTCTCTGCGGCGGCCTCTCGCCTGTCTCTTCCTGCCGCGGGGCTGTTCCGCCCCGATCGTGCGGGGTACCAGGACGCTACGCCCGCCTCCAGCACCTCCTCCTCCTCCTCCTCCTCCTCCTCCTCCTCCTCACCTCCTCCTCCTCCCTCCTCCTCCTCCTCCTCCTCCTCCTCCTCCTCCTCCTCCTCCTCCTCCTCATCCTCCTCCTCCTCCTCCTCCTCCTCCTCCTCCTCCTCCTCCTCCTCCTCCTCCTCCTCCTCCTCCTCCTCCTCCTCCTCCTCCTCCTCCTCCTCCTCCTCCTCCTCCTCCTCCTCCTCCCTCTTTGCCCAATTGCCCCCTGGCTTCCTTGGGCGGCCTCTGTCCCCTGCTGAGCTGTCCGGCAGCGCCGCCGCTTCCGGGTGAACCCTCGTCTCTTCCAAGTCGCTGATTTCCGCCCCGCAGCCCGCGGGCGCCTGGGACGCTCTGCTACACCCCGCCCTACCCCGCGCCCGGCCGCTTGGCCTCAGGCGGTCACGCTGCACTGCCCTCTTGACTGCTTTTCGCTGCTCCCGCCCCCGCACGGCTCAGTGCTGTGCGTTCTCCTCGGGGCGCCGCGTTACGGGGCTCGCGGTGCTTCCTGTGTTCATCCAGCCCCTGGTTGGCTCCCACTCCACGCCAACCTTGCCCCCGTGGTTCGCCACGGCCGCCCACCGCGCTCTGGCCACGCGAGCCGGGTTGCTGCCGCCCGCCGGCTGCTCATCGTCGAAGTCTTCGGCGTGAGTGCGTCCCTCCTTCCTCTCGTCGGCCTCCACCCACCCTCCCTTGCACGCCGGCCATTTCGCTGGTTGGTGCCCCTACCTAGCTGCTACGCTGGTGCGGACATCGCCGCCCCGCCGCTTACGAAAAAGTGTGATACTTCCGCTGCCTCGCGCCAGCCATCCGCCGGCTTCCGCCCGCAGAGGCACAGCCAACCCGGTCAGAAATACGGGCGCACGATAAAAGGATGCGAGGGCCCTGGGAAGGCCATGCGGACACGCGGCGAGCGGGGCGCGGGCAGCAAAAGGGCGGCCGAGGAGGGGCCGAAGTGAAGGGGCCCTGGGACACACGAATAAATACACACAAATAAGAATATGCCCCATATTTTCCCACAGTTTCTGGGTTTTTGTCTTCCCGCCCAACTCCCATATTCTCCCATATTCTCTGGGGAATCGCCGATGAATTGTGTCTGTGTGCTTCTTTCCCTCCTGACGAAGGGCAAGGATAAGAGCAACCTTGGAAAGCTGCTCGCCCTTCCTGTGCGGGCTGACTGCAGCCTCGTGCTCCTTCCCCCGCCCTCCGCCGCGGACAGGCGACAACTCCCTCGACCTTCGAAGGGCGAGGCCCTTTCTGGAGCACCCCGCTTCTTTGAAGGGGCCCCCGGACACACAAATAAACACACACAAATAACAGGATTCCCCTATATTTTCCCATATCTTCTAGGTTTTTGTCTTCCCCCCCGCTTCCCATATTTTCCTACATTTTCCTGGGAATCGACGATTGATTGTGTCTGTGTGTTTTTGTCCCCCCCTGATTCTTGAAGGGGGGGGGGGCGGGCGATCCATGGTGGTCTGCCGGACCGCCATGAAGATCGAGTAGTCCATGAGGCCTGGCGGCGAGCAGCGCCCCGCGCGGCGCGGCGGCACGGCAGGGCCGCTGCGGGCGCGTGTCGCGCTGGGCGGCGGCCGCCTGGGCGCGGAGAGATAGCCCGTCTTACGCAGTGCAGCATGCATAGAGGGCAGGACATCCAGCCCGATAAGAACCGCCCCGACACGCGAAGCCGTTTAGTAAACGCACCCGAAGAAGGATTCAAACGGGGCAGGGCTGTGTTGTAAACGCCCTGGGCCGTTTAGTAAACGCCAATTGTTGGGTCTGGGTGTTTTTTCCTCCCTTGAATATAGTCGAGTGTGATTGGAGAGGGCACGCGAGAGGACGCAAGACCCTCCCGATGGCCACGTTGCCATAGGGATGTGGAAGGCGTGGGCCGTGAAGCACAGGGTTCAAGGGTACGTACACTTGATTTGGCAGGGTCTATCTACCAATCAAACTCGACTGTAGCCCACTTACGCGGCGTCGTACGCGGCAGCTTGCGCCGTAGCTTACGCGGGCCAGGGCCCCACTCAAATACAATCCACCACCATGTTTTGTTTAAGGCCGACTGACGGCTGCTTTGAGGTCTGGACTCCCATCGGAGTGTCCTGCACGCTCGGGAAACAAGAATACACTCGACGCCTCGGCTATCTGTAAACATTTGTGTGGACGCCCGACATGGATACGGACAAAAATGCCACGATGCCCAACACCAAATGTTGTCCAAAAACGACGGCGGCCGCTATTGGGCAAGCGGCCTTATCTCTCAAATGGACCACGTCCGCGGCGACACCGACAGCAAGCCCTGCCCGAAACGAACAGGAACTGCTGTCAGTCGTCGTACCCATTCTGTCCGTACACAGTTCCATCGTCCCAAATCTTGCGAGCCAGAGACGTTAACCAGCCTCGAACTTATCGTTATCCCTAAGATGGGCGATCAAAAAGCGAGGACAATCTTATTGATGTGCCCTCAGAAACTGAGAGAATCCGTAAGGTCGGCACTGAGGTGAGGTGTTGCCAACACACAGGGGTAAGGATAATTATGCTTCAAACTGGTGAGATGTGCCGGGCAGAGCCCCAGAACGCCAGCCACTCCGCGCCACCGTCATCTCGTAGTCCCTTGCCGGAGCGGGCCTTCTCTTGCGGGCTCGCGGCCCCCCGGCGCTCGCGGCCTCGCGCGCTCGCGGCCCCAGGGCCTGGTGCCTGGTCCGCGATGGAGGTTGCCCAAGACTTACCAGCCTGGAACATATCCCTATCCCTATGCCGGGCATCTCCTCTTCACGATGCCAATCTTAGGGATACCTTTAGTTTTTCAGGGGGAGTCCCTAAGATTGTCATCGCCTATTGGCGTGTCAATCTTAGGGATAAGGATAAGTTCGAGGCTGGTGAACGACGAGCTACAAGTGGCTGCGAGCCCACTGGGGCTGCCCACCGGAGCCCTCAGCGGCCCCGGGCGTGCGAGGCCGGGGGCGCAGGCGCATCCACCGCTCGGGGGCAGCGGCTGCGGTGGTGGATCGGCATACTACACAAGGTAAAACCTGCAGAGACTTTGCCTGGAGCCACGCCTGCTCGCCCTGGCTGCAGACCGACCGATGGGCACAATCCGACTAGAGTCGAACTAGAATCGAACTAGAGACAGACTTCTGGCGCCCGCCATCGTGGATTGGAGATCCATGGATCTGGCGCGTGGACTCCACATTCACGGATCGGGAAACGTAACCCCCGCAAGATGCCAGTGCCGCCTCATGTGGCGACGGAAACGGGACACGCCGCTAACACACGCGCCATAATCCATGATCACATCTCCTTGAAAACTAGAATCGGACAGATCCGCTGGGTGGGCCCCTCAAAACGAGCATCTCACCCGCGGCGGCTCGAAGAGGGGCCTTCTTTGATCAGCCACTCGGCGTCGCCCTGGATCTTCCGGACAATCTCCTCGGTGCCGCCCGGCCCTGCTCCTGCTGCCCCCTGCCCCTTCTCCCTCCCTCCCTCCCTCCTCCTCCCCCCGCTGCCCTTACTCGGGCCTCCTCCTCCTCCTCCTCCACCTCCTCCTCCTCCGTCCCCTCTTCCTTTTCCGCCTCCCCCTCCCCCTCCTCCTCCTCCTCCTCCTCCTCCTCTTCCTCCTCCTCCTCCTCCTCCTCCTCCTCCTCCTCCTCCTCCGCCTCCTCCTCCTTCCCCTCCTCCTCCTCCGCCTCCCCCTCACTGCCCCCCTCTCCTGTGCCAACCGGGACGACGGCATCTTCGAGCCCGTGGTCCGCCGCACCCCTCCCCCCCCCCCACAGGCGCAGCCAGGCGGCCGCCTCCGCTCCCCCGGCGGAGCGGCGAGGAGGAGGAGGAGGGGGAGGAGGACGAGGTGGAGGAGGAGGAGGAGGAGGAGGAGGGGGAGGAGGGGAGGAGGAGGAGGAGGAGGAGGAGGAGGAGAGGAGGAGGAGGAGGAGGGGGGGAGGGGAAGGGAAGGGGAGAAGAAGGAGGAGGAGGAGGGGAAGGGAAGGGGAGAAGAAGGAGGAGGAGGAGGAGGAGAGAGAGGGAGGGGAAGGAGGAGGACTGGAAGGATGACGATCGGACGAGAGAGCCTCCCACGCCACGGGTGCCCACCCACCACCCCAGCCTCTCCCGCTCGAACGCATACATTAAACCGTATCAGAAGGATGCGCGGTAAGGAAGCAAGGGCCTAGGAGGCCCATGTGAATGATGCTTCGAACGAGGTAGGTTAGCCAGCGAATGTCGCTAAGGATGGGCCGAGGGGGCAAGGATGCAAGGATACCCGCGGGAAGGTCGCTCGTCCTTACAACGCGGGTTGACTGTACGCCGCCGTGGCCCCAGTGCAGCGCGATCGAGGCTGCCTTTCCCTCCGCCCGCAAGCAGGCGGCTCCTGACGCCACACATGTGTGTGTTTGTGTGTCTGGGTGTCTGTGTCTGTGTGCCTGTGTCTGTGTGGTTTTGTGTCTGCATGTCTGTGTGAGTGTGTGTGTGTGTGTGTGTGGTGTGTGTGTGTGCGTGTACGTGTGCGTGTGCGTGTGCGTGCGTGTGCGTGTGCGTGTGCGTGTGCGCGTGCGTGTGCGTGTGCGCGTGCGTGTGCGCGTGTGTGTGCGTGTGCATGTGGGTGTGCGTGTGCGTGGGTGCGTGCGTGTGCGTGTGCGTGTGCGCGTGCGTGCGCGTGTGCGTGTGCGAGTGCGCGTGCGTGTGCGCGTGCGTGTTCGTATGTGTGCGTGTGCGTGAGCGTGCGCGTGTGCGCGTGAGCGTGCGCGTGCGTGTGCGTGTGCGTGTGCGTGTGCGTGTGCGCGTGCGTGCTTGTGTGTGCGTGTGCGTGTGCGTATGCGTGTGCGCGTGTGATACCGCGGTTGCGTGTTCGTGCATGTGTGCGTGTGCGTGTGCTTGCCGTGCGTGTGCGCGTGCGTGAGCGTGTGCGTATACGTGTGCGTGGGCGTGGGCGTGTGCGTGTGCGTGTGCGTCTGCGTGTGCGTCTGCGTGTGCGTCTGCGTGTGCTTGTGCGTGTGCGTGTGCGCGTGTGCGTGCGCGTGTGCGTGCGCGCGTGCGTGTGCGCGTGCGCGCGCGTGTGCGCGTGTGCGCGTGTGCGCGGGTCTGCATGTGTGCGTGTGTGCGTGTGCGCATGTGCGCGTGTGCGTGTGCGCATGTGTGCGTGTGTAAGTGCGTGCGTGTGTGTATGCGCGCGTGCGTGTGTGCGTGTGTGCGCGTGTGCGTCTGTGCGCGTGTGCGCGTGTGCGCGTGTGCGCGTGTGTGTGTGCGCATGCACGTGTGAACCCGCGTGCGCGTGTGACCTTGTGCATGTGTGCGCGTGTGCTGCGTGTGTGCGCGTGTGCGCGTGTGCGCGTGTGTGCGCGTATGCGCGTGTGCGCGTGTGCGCGTGTGTGCGTGTGCGCGCGTGCGCGTGTGAGCGTGTGCGCGTGTTCGCGCGCGCGCGTGTGCGCGTGTGCGCGTGTGCGCGTGTGCGCGTGTGCGCGTGTGCGTGTGCGCGCGTGTGCGCGTGCGCGCGTGTGCGCATCTACGCGTGTGTGCGTGTGCGAATGTGCGTGTGTGCGTGTGCGCGTGTGCGCGTGTGCGCGTGTGCGCGTGTGCGCGTGTGCACGTTTGCGCGCGTGCGCGTGTGCGCGTGTGCGCGCGTGCGCGTGTGCGCGTGTGCGCGTGTGCGCGTCTGCGCGTGTGCGCGTCTGCGCGTGTGCGCGTGTGCGCGTGTGCGCGTCTGCGCGTGTGCGCGTGTGCGCGTGTGCGCGTGTGTGCGTGTGCGCGTGTACGCGTGAGCGTTTGTGCGCGTGTACGCGTGTGCGCGTGTGCGCGTGTACGCGTGTGTGCGTGTGCGTGTGTGCGTGTGCGCGCGTGCGCGTGTGCGCGTGTGCGCGTCTGCGCGTGTGCGCGTGTGCGCGTGTGCGCGTGTGCGCGTGTGCGCGTGTGCGCGTGTGCGCGTGTGCGCGTGTGCGCGTGTGTGCGTGTGCGTGTGCGCGCGTGTGTGCGTGTGCGCGTGTGCGCGTGTGCGCGTGTGCGCGTGTGCGCGTGTGCGTGTGCGCGTGTGCCCGTGTGCGCGTGTGCGCGTGTGCGCGCGTGTGCGTGCGTGCGTGCGTGCGTCTGTGCGTGCGTGCATGTGTGCGTGTGTGCGTGTGTGCGTGAGCGTGTGTGCGTGTGTGCGTGTGTGCTTGTGTGCGTGTGCGCGTGTGCGCGTGTGCGCGTGTGCGCGTGTACGCGTGTGCGTTTGTGCGCGTGTGCGCTTGTGCGCGTGTGCGCGTGTGCGCGTGTGCGCGTGTACGCGTGTGTGCGTGTGCGTGTGTGCGTGTGTGCGTGTGCGCGTGTGCGCGTGTGGGCGTGTGCGTGTGTGCTTGTGTGCGTGTGTTCGCGTGTGCGTGTACGCGTGTGCGCGTGTGCGCGTGTACGCGTGTGTGCGTGTGTGCGTGTGTGCGTGTGCGCGTGTGCGCGTCTGCGCGTGTGTGCGTGTGTATGTGTGTGCGTGTGTGCGTGTGTGCGTGTGTGCGTGTGTGCGCGTGTGTGCGTGTGTGCGTGTGTGCGTGTGCGTGTGTGCGCGTGTGTGCGTGTGTGCGTGTGTGCGTGTGTGCGCGTGTGCGTGTGCGCGTCTGCGCGTGTGCGCGTGTGCGTGTGCGCGTGTTTGCGTGTGTGCGTGTGTGCGTGCGTGCGTGTGTGCGTGTGCGTGTGTGCGTGTGTGCGTGTAGGCGTGTGGGCGTGTGTGCCTGTGTGCTTGTGTGTGTGGGCGTCTGTGCGTGCGTGCGTGTGTGCGTGTGTGCGAGTGTGCGTGTGTGCGCATGGCGTGTGTGCTGTGTGTGCGCGTGTGCGCGTGTGCGTATGTGCGTGTGCGTGTGTGCGGGTGTTGTGTATGTGTTGTGTGTGCTGGAGTGCTAGCCGTTAGCGGAAGAGAATCGCTCTTGCCCCGCAGACCAAAAAAGTGTGCCGGAGTACTGTGTGTGCGTGTGTGCGTGTGTGTTGTGTGTATTGAGGGTGGGGTGTTGTGTGTGGTATGTGTCGTGCGTTGTCTGTGGTGTGCGTTGTGTGTTGTGTTGTGTGTTGTGTGTCTTGTGTGTGTCTTGTGCGTGTTGTGAGTGCTGTGTGTGTTGTGTGTTGTGTGTCATGTGCGTGTTATGTGTGTGTTGTTTGTGCGTGTTGTGTGTATTGTGTGTTGTGTGTTGTGTGTTGTGTGCTGTGTGTGGAGCGTGTTGTTTGTGTTGTGTGTGTTGCGTCTGATGTGAGTCATGTGTGCTGTATGTGCTGTGTGTTGTGTGTGGTGTCTGTGTTGTGTGTTGTGTGTGTTGTGTGGGTTGTGTGCTGTGTGCTTTGTGTGTTGTGTGTTGTGTGGTGTGTGTGTTGTGTGTTGTGTGTTGTTTGTGTGCTGTGTATGTTGGGTGTATTGTGTGTTGTGTGGTGTATATATTGTGTATGGCGCGTGTGTTGTGTGCTGTGCGTTTTGTGTGTTGTGTGTTGTGTGGTGTGTGTGTGTTGTGTGTGTGTTGTGTGTTGTGTGTTGTGTGTGTTGTGTGTTGTGTGATTTGTGTTGTGTGCTGTGTATTGTGCGGTGTCTTGTGTGTTGTGTGTTATGGGTTGTGTTGTGTGCGGTGAGTGGTGTGATGTGTGGTGTGTGCTGTGTGTTGTGTGATTTGTGTTGTGTGTTGTGTGTTGCGTGTTGCGTGTGTTGTGTGTTGTGTTGTGTATTGTGAGTTGTGTGTTGTGTGGTGGGTGTTGTGTGCTGTGTGTTGTATGTTGTGTGTTGTGTGTGTTGGATGGTGTGCGTGTGCTGTGCGCTGTGTGTTGTGTGTTGTGTGTTGTGCGTTGTGTATTGTGTGTTGTGGGGTGTGGGGCGTGTGTTGTGTGTACTGTGTGGTGTATGCTATTTGTTGTGTGTTGTGTGGTGTGTGTTGCGTGTTGTGTTTGTTGTGTTGCATGTTGTGTGTTGTGTGTTGCGTGGTGTGAGTTGTCTGATATGTGGTGTGTGTTGTGTGTTGTGTGTTGTGTAGTGTGCCTTCTGTGTTGTGTGTTGTGAGTGTTGTGGGTTGTGTGGTGTATGTTATGTGTTGTGTGGTGTGTGTTGTGTGTTGTGTGGTGTGTAGTGTGTGGTGTGTGGTGTGCGTGTGCGTCGTGTGCGTGTGTGTGCGTGTGCGTGTGCGTGTGCGTGTGCGTGTGCGTGTGCGTTGGTGTGTGCGTCAGTGTGCGTGTGCGTGTGCGTGTGCGTGTGCGCGTGCGTATTTGTTGTATTGTGTTATGTTGCGTCGCGTTGTGTTATGTTGTGTTACGTTGTGTTGTGATGCGTTATGTTGTGTTGTGTGTGTGGTGTGTGTGTGCGTGCGTGTGTGTGTGTGTCGTGTTGTGGTGTGTTGTGTTGTGGTGTGTATTGTGTTGTGTCTTGTGTGTGCGTGTGTGTGTGTTGTGTTATGTGTGTGCGTGTGTGTTGTGTGCGTGTGCGTGCGTGTGTTGTGTCGTGCGTGTGTATGTTGTGTGTGTGTTGTGTGTTGTGTGTTATGTGTTGTGTGTTGTGTGCTGTGTGTTGTGTGTTGTGTGTTGTGTGCGTCGTGTGTGTGTTGTGTTGTGTGTGTTGTGTGTTGTGTATGCTGTGTGTGCTGTGGCTCGTGTGTTGTGTGTGGTTTGTGTTGTGTGTTGTGTGTGTGCGCGCCCGGCGGCCTGCCTAAGAGAAGAGGGGACGACGAGGAGGGACCGGAGAGTGGACGCAGGCCAGGACCGTGGGAGTATTTCAGAGAGAGGCAGGGCGAGAGAAAGAGAGAGAGAGAGAGAAAGAAAGAGAGAACGAGAGAGAGAGAGAGACACAGGGAGAGATGATCATGAAAATGGGCGGAATGATAAAGAGACGGTCACCCATGCATGCTCCATCCATGGGTGCGGGCCTGGCGTTGAGAGTCTGAAGAACTTTACGATCGCCTTGTGTTTACTTGGGCTAACGAGTTGAGCAATAGTTCATTCCATCCGTGAAACTTCGAACGGCCAGCATCGAAGTTATTGAATGCTTGAACTGCCTTTGACTCACTGGTTGCCCTTTTGACTACCACGACTACGGATCGGGTTCGCTTTGTCTGTTAGCTGTGGGTAGGTCGTTGCTGTTCAACGCTTCTTCGATTAACAGTCCTAATTCGGCAACTCTGCCTTTTTGACTGTACTGGTCGCTTCCTCGTGCCTCTGCCCACAGCTCATGATGCTTAGCAATGCTGTTTGCTTTACCGAAAGGTTGCATGTGGGTGAAGCCGTGCTCGTGTGACATATCCGCATTACCAAACTGTTCTTCCTCACCCGTATTGCAATGGCGCCGCCATGGTTTGCCTTTGGAGCTGCTTGGCACATTCATAGTCACCACATTCAAAAGCTGCCAGGCAATTTGCTCCCAAACTAGTCAAGTTCTATGTAAAGCATTCTTGACGTGCAGCTGGTATGTTCTGATTCGGCCTTGCCTTGACCTCGCCCCGCTACCAGGCAAGGTAACCAAAAACGATATTGCAATGAGTTGTCTCAGTACGAAGCGGGAACACTGCACAAAGTTGAAAGGGTGCCACCGCTTGGTGGAAGGAAACGCTTGAGCCCAATGCAACAGGAGTGCTCAGTGACTTGGCGGCTGCACTACGCACAAAGCCCTCCTCCTATCATCAGCAGCAGAAGCAGCATCCGCAGCATCATCATCATCACCATCATCATCACCACCGTCATCATCGCCGTCCTCGACGGCGTCCTCATCATTATCATTACCACCACTACCACAACCACTACCACCACCACCATCATCATCATGATGACCCTCATCGTCATCATCGTCATGATCTTCCTCATCATCATCATCATCATCATCATCATCATCATCATCAGCATCATCATCAGCAGCATCAGCATCATCAGCATCATCATGAGTATCGGCATCATCATGAGCATCATCCTGCTCATCAGCAACATCAGCAGCAGCATCATCATCACCACCACCATCATCATCATCATCACCATCATCACCACCATCATCATCATCGCCAGCACCATCATCACCATCATCATCACCACCACCATCATCATCACCATCATCATCATCATCAGCATCATCATCATCAGCATCATCATCCTCAGCATCATCATCATCCTCAGCATCATCATCAGCATCATCATCATCATCATCATCATCACCACCATTACCATCATCACCACCACCACCACCATCATCATCACCCTCACCATCATCACCGTCATCATTACCACGGATCCCCCCTGCCTTTCCCGCCCGCCCCGGAGGCTCTCTCCGCGCTGGCCGGCCACGCAGGAGCGGCCCGCGCGCCAGGGCAGCCTCTGGGCCCCGGCAGGGTGCACGCGCGCCCGCCGGCCGAGGCCCGCACGGCCAAGCACACCGTCGCGGGGCCCAGGATGGGCCCCGGCAAGCAGCCTGGACCTTTTTTTGAAGGGGAACTGGGACACACAAATTAATACACACAAATAAAAAGATCCGCCATCTTTTCCCATATATGTTTGGGGTTGCATCTTCCCCCGCACTTCCCATATGTTCCTATCCTTTCCTGGAAGCCGACGATGAATTCTGTCTGTGTCTCTCTTTCTCTCCTGACTGTTGGCTGCGCGCACAAGGGGGTGGGGGGAGGGGGGCGGGCTTCTCAGAGGGAGCAGGCTGCTTCTTAGAAGGCGCCAGCCTTGCATCTGTAGAGAAGGCCCGCGCCCTCTAAGAAGCAGCCTCCCTCTGAGAAGCCCTCCCCCTCCCCCCACCCCCTTGTGCGCGTGGCCGAACCTTATCACTATCCCTAAGATGGGCGAGCAAAAAGCGGGGACAATCGTGGGGATGTGCCCTCAGAAACGGAGGGAGTCTGTAAGATCGACATCAAGGTGAGGTGATGCCACACACAGGGATCGGGATAACTCTCCAATTGGTAGCCTGGCCCGACACGGTGGCCGGACAAGCCCGAACTGGGCACGAATGAATACGACGCCCAGGAGCAGAAATGGTCCAAAACCGACGGCGGCCGCTGTTGGTGGGCAGGCAACCTCGGTGCCTGAGACGGACAAGCGCCCGCGGCGACGCCGACAGCGAGTCTGAGTCAAGATGGGCAGAAACTGCTGCTGGTCTTCGTCCCCATTCCTCCCGTGCTGACAGTACCGATGGCGGTTCACAGGATGCCCTCTGTGGAGAGCTGGCTTCTGGAAACTTGTTCCGTCGGCGACGAGGCAGAGGCAGACCGCTCCAGCGTGTGGCTATTCGGGGCAACTGAAAGGCTAAGTGTCCTGCGTGCACGAGGGAAGGAAAAGGCGAGGGCGGCCGCGCGATGGGGAGGCGGAGGAGGAGGAGGAGGAGGAGGAGGAGGAGGAGGAGGAGGAGGAGGAGGAGGAGGGGGAGGGGAGGAGGAGGAGGAGGAGGAGGGGGAGGAGGAGGGGGAGGCGGAGGAGGGAGGAGGAGGGGGAGGCGGAGGAGGTGGAGGAGGAGGAGGAGGGGAGGGGGAGGAGGAGGAGGAGGGGGAGGCGGGGAGAGGAGGAGGGGGAGGAGGAGGAGGGGGAGGAGGAGGGGAAAGGAGGAGGAGGAGGAGGAGGAGGAGGGGGAGGGAGACGGCTTCTGGAAACAGGCTGGGGCGCGCGGCCGGCGCTCCGCTCGCTGGTCCGGCGGGAAGGCGAACTCCAGCTTCCGGGCGCCCTCCTTCCCCTCGCGGTGGGGCACGGGGCGGCCACGGGAATGACGATGACGATGACGACGATGACGACGACGACGACGACGACGACGATGATGATGATGATGATGATGATGGTGGTGGTGATGATGATGGCGATGATGATGATGATGATGATGATGATGATGATGATGATGATGATGACGACGACGACGACGATGATGATGATGATACTGGTGGTGATGATGGTGATGACGATGAGGGTGATCATGATGATGATGATGACAATGATGGTGACGACGATGATGACGATGCTGGGAGTGATGCTGATGATGGCGATGATGGTGATAATGATGCTGTTGACGATGATGACAATGATGATGCTACGTATGACGATGATGATGATGTTGATGGTGATCGTCATCATCATCATCATCATCATCATCATCATCATCATCATCATCATCATCATCATCATCATCATCATCGTCATCCGTCATCGTCATCGTCATCGTCATCAGCATCAGCATCAGCATCAGCAGCATCATAACCAGCATCACCAGCATCACCATCGTCATTATCACCATCATCACCATCATCATCAGCATCATCGTCGTCGTCGTGGTCGTCGTCGTCGTCGTTGTCGTCGTCGTCGTCTGGGCGGCACAGCGGGGGAGACGGAAGCGAAATTTGAGGGGAGGGAGGGGAGAGGGGGAGTCCGAGCCGAGGGGGGAGGCTGGGGAACAGAGGGAGGGAGCGAGGGGAGAAGGGGGAGGACGAGGCGAAGGGGGAGGGGAGGGCAAGTGGGGAGGGCAAGGAGGGAAGGGGCGAGGAAGGGAGGGAGTAGGGCGACCTGGGAGCGGGAAAGGGGCAGAGAGAGAGAGAGAGGACGAGAGGAGGCAAAGGAGGAGGAGGGAGAGGGAGGTGGGAAGCGGAGCAGCAGGGGGAGCTTGGGCGGGAAGAGGCGCGTCTTCATCCTTCTCCTGCGATTCCTGAGAGCATCCTCCTGCCCCTCACCGAGGGCGAGGCCAACTGGGGGGTGCCTGCGATCCAGCGGTCAGCATCGACACCCCACATCCCAACCCCCTCTAGTCAAACCTCGATCGAAAACCGTTCGAGCCCGATCATGAGGCGGGCAGTGGCGCGCATGGCCAGACAAGGCCACCCACGGCGACAGCACAAGCGAAAATTGTCAGAGCCGACAACGAAATCCGAACCGACCGAAACAGACAGGCCGCAGGAAGCCTAGAAGGGCGCGGCGAGGCAGCAACGACTCGACAGCTGACCGGACCCGACTGGTCGAACGCAGACGACTGCGACACGGCCGAACCGACCAAAGGCACCCTTACGAAACCTGCCCTCCGCGTGCCCACATCTAGTCGCAAGTAGATCGAACGGCTCGTGGAGACGGGACAATGGAGCCGAGCATCGATCAGAAGGAGAACGAGAGAGACGAGGAGGTCAGGTAAAGCAAGGCCGAATAGGACGCGAGTTCGATGCAGCCACCACGATGGGGAATCTGAAAACAAGGAGGGCCTCAGAGAAGTGTATGGAGGCAAGGCCCAAGCTCTCGCTGGAGGCATGCCCGGTATCCCGCCCGTGGCCCTTCTTGGGGCCGTGGGCGTACCTCGTCGCAGGAGGCTCCGCACTATCCGAGCCTCTGCGGCTGTGGAGAGGTGCCCTGGCAGGCAGAGACGCGGGAGAGGAGACGGGAGAGGCGGGCGAGGGCCAGGCGGGTGGCAGTGGGGGGTGACCCATCGGCGGTGGACAAACCTCCCTTTAGTAGACCTCCCTTTAGCGAAAACGGCCTGGGACCGCAACCGACGGACCTGGACCCGCAAAAACGACGGCCGCGACGCCCTCTCGCGAACCGAAAACGGCCGATTCCTTAATCGACGTGTCGGGGTAGGTCTGCCCACCCCCGATCCATCCGGGGGGGGGGTCCGGTTGCAAACTGGCCCCCCCCCTCCAAGCAACTACAGAACGCGCTCTTTCCGAAATAAGGAGCGAAGCCCCTTTTTCCCATCGTGTCGGGGTAGGTCTGCCTACCCGGGAACCCAATTGGGGGGGGGTGAAGCAAAGAGCCCCCAAGGAGCCCTTCAAGACCCTTTCTGGAGCCAGGCGGGTGCCCAAAAGCGGGGCCCCAAAGGGTCCCCTTTGGGGCCGTTTTCTTCACCCCCCCCGTTGGGCCACCCCCAGATCGCACGACGTTGTCGATGCTTTTCCCCGGCATCAAGGGGGCGAATGTACCCCCAGCCCAACAGGGAAGGAGCCGCCAGGAGACGACCTGGTGATCACCCCCCGAAACTTCCGTGCTGGCCGTCGCCTCGGGAAGCGGGAGCTGAGGCAGAAACGGCCGCGCACGGGCCGTATGTGAATCCCTCGCCGCACCCCCCCCCCTTTGGGCCACCCCCAAGTTACCGCCCAGCCGAGAGGGCTGGAGGGGAAGAAACCCTGGGAAAAGAGCAGCGTGCAGACGAGCAGGCAAGTCGGCCAGCCATGCCATACTATTGGGGCCCAGGGACACACAAATAAAGAGACACACCTCCCAGGATTCCCCGTGTTTTCCCACATGTTCTCGGATTTCGTCTTCCCCCTCCCATTTCCTGGAGTTCGACGATTGGTTGCGTCTGTGTGTTGTTCCCCTCCTGACATGCGTCGTAGCGCGTGGGCGATGCAAATGTTACAGAACGCACACTCAGTCGAACATGCGCCTTGTGGCTGCGGCGGCGGTGCAAGCAAGCAAGGTAGCATCCGGATCTGGTAACTGTACAACCGGCTATCTTTGGGGAGCGGGAGCACGGCAGGAAAAGGATGAGGAGAATGAAGATTGCTGTGCATGGTGCTTCCAGTGCTGCCTGCCAGGGCGACCAGGCGCAAAAGGCACGGAAGCATATCACATGTAGCCGCTTGCCCCTTCGGGTCGTGAGATCGCGTCTGCAGCTGCCCTCTCCACTGCGCTGGGTCTTTCAGACATTGCAGCAACATCTCAGGGGAGGGAGCGGGAGCAAGTAGGTCGTAGCGGCAGGGATAGAGGGTGGAAAGGCAAGGGAGGGGAGAAAGAGGGAGAAAGCTGCGGAGAGGAAAGAGTGAGAAGGGGGAAGAGGAAGGGAACTGAAGAAGAAGAAGCGGACACATACGGAAGCAGACACAGGGATAAGGAACGGGGAGCTCCTCCTCCTCATCCTCGTCCTCCTCATCGTCAGCGTCATCATCGTCTTCTTCCTCCACCTACTCCTCCTCACCTCCCAGTTGCACCTTTCGATCTGAGGCGTCAAACCCGATTCCTCATCCAATTGTCCCTTTCAATAAGAGGCACGGTGTCCATCCATTCTCATGTGCCTGAAGAGTCCCATGACCCACATCCTCTTCATCGCGCAAGCGGGGATGAGCCTTCCAATACTGCCAGCGCAAGTCTGACCAGCAACATTTTGACCACCTTGCCACTGCCCCATGAGCCCCATGGAATGATCACGTTCATACAGTGCGGGCGCGGCCGCAAGAAACTCTCGCAGGAAACCTAACCCTGAAAATCCGCGCGGGGGGCTGCACCTAAAGGGGGACCCAGAGCACCCTGAACGCAGCAGCTTCATCAAAGGCCGCGGGAAGTAGCCCCGCGGCGCGCGGTGCGAAGAAACCCTGGGTTCCCTGACGAACAGCGTATGGTTTCTTGATGCGAGCCCAACTGTATGCAAATGTCTCAATGCATCCCCTCCTGCCTCCGTGTTCTGGGGGATGTGAAAGAGAAGAAGACAGGGGAACTGGGAAGAACATGCAGGTGCGAGTTCTGCTCTCGAATGGTCTCCCCCATACATCCATGGATTGCCTCCTCCCCCGTCGCAATTGCTTCTTGATAGTAGCCAGTGTCTCTCCCCACGGCGTGTTGACTGCGCCCAAGTGAGCGACGATCAAAAACGGGTCGTAAGCGAGATGACGTAGCGACCTTACGCGTTCTGTCATCGCACCTGTGGGCTGCTGATTTTTGTGCTGATGGTGTATCGACGCAGCGCTGTCAGCGGATCAATGGTGTCCCATTGGTCGACTGATTGTGTCCAAATGGTGCCCCGTTGGCTGGGCCTCGACAGTGATGCGATCGCGTCCCGACGGTGCCTTGATGACGACGAATCTGGTAAGACCCCAATGAGGACAACCCTTTTTGCTCGAGGCAAGCTGATAGCTCATGTAGCAACAACCGACAAGACAAAAAGATATAAACGACCTTAGACAAAACACATGCTTTCTTCCTCGTAACGGATACGGCAGACGGTCTGATTCAACTGCGAACAACAGGTGTTCAGAATGGCCGCCGGTCGTCTTACCTTGATCCAGTGAGGATGTCGAATGCGAAGCTCAAGTGGGGGGTGCGGTTGGGATGGTGTGCCATGACGGTGTCCCGAGTGTGCGCCGATGGCCTGCTGATGAGCCCGACGGCGTCCCGATGCTTCTTATTGTGCACTGGCGTGCCGCTGTCGGTCTTGTCGCGAGGCCGCGTGTCCTCGATGGTGCATCGATGCTGACCCGAGGCAGGTGTAACTGCAGTGGCGTCGCGTGGGAATCGCAAGCGGAACAGCTGCTGGTCGGGGTGGTACGGATGCGGGCTGGGGGCCGAGAAGAAATCGAATGCAAACGTGATTCAGTTGCCGATCAACTAGGGATCAGGCATGAGGCGCGTGCGACGAACGTGTCCTCCTCCTCCTCCTCCTCCTCCTCCTTCTCCTCCTCCTCCTTCTCCTCCTCCTCCTTCTCCTTCTTCTCCTCCTCATCCTCCCCCCATGTTCATCAGCATCCTGAGCCTGACCCGCGGCCTCTGTCTTTCCTCCGACGGCGAATGGGACACCACTGCCGCGAGTCACGGATATACGGGGCACGTCCACGCGAACTGCACCCAGAATTGTGGATGAAAGACCAAGAAGATGAGGGGCAACGTTGGGGGGGTACCAACTCAGGGGGAGGGAAGCAGCGACCGGAGCTCGGCGACACGTCGCCCACACGTGCAGTGGTGATAGGCCCCCGATCGCAAATCTGCACTTTCCTGCACGGGGTGGGCTGTCGGGCCCCTGTCGGCGATGCATGTGCTGATGGGCATGTTTTCCACCACCACCACCATGAGTTGGCGGGGGGAAGGAGGAGGAGGACGAGGAGGAGGAGGAGGAGGAGGACGAAGAGGAGGAGGAGGAGGAGGAGGAGGAGGAGGAGGAGCAGGTGGACGAAGAGGAGGAGGAGGAGGAGCAGCAGGAGGAGGACGAGGAGGAGGAGGAGGGCCCCTCCCCCTCCAACTGATGGTGGTGGTGGTGGAAAACAAGCCCAGCATGTGCGGTTCGGAGCCGAGGCGTCCCCTCCCGCGTCAGAGTCGGCTGCGCGCCTGGAATTCCGGGTCACACCCCAGCTCTCCGGCCCCGCGGCCGCTCGGGACGACCGGGGCACCCCCGGAACGCTCTCGGCGAGACGCAGCCGCTGGGAGGCGCCCCAAACCGCGGCGGAGGCGGAGGAGGCGGAGGCGGAGGAGGAGGAGGAGGAGGAGGAGGAGGAGCAGGAGGAGGAGGAGGAGCAGGAGGAGGAGGAGGAGCAGGAGGAGGAGGAGGCGGAGGAGCGCGCCCCTGCGAGATGGGTGGCCAAAACCGCGGAGAAGCGCGGACGCCCAACAAAAAAAAAGCCGAGCGCCACGACGCTGCCCCCGGAGACGGAGGCCCGCGGCGGAAGAGCGAGAGGCCCCCAGCCGGCCTGCGCGCGGGGCGGGCTGCTCCGCGACCGCGGCCGAGCTCGGCGACCACGTGGGCACGCGGAGCGCAGGCGTGGCCACGTCAGAACTCCAGCAACATTGAACTTACAGTGTGTAGCAACAATGGCCTCACACGTTTCCGACTTGAGACTGTTTTAACATAGGGACCGCTCGCGCCCCCTCGGCCTGTTGCAACCCTTACCTACCATGCCCCCGCCGACGTTTCCTTTGCCGCCCCCCCCGCCACTGGGGAAACCAAAAGGTACCGATACCGCTACTCCCCGGACCGCTCCCGGGGCGCGTTCTGACAAGGATTTCGACGCGAATCCAGCGGTGGCGACGAGGGCCTCCCAGGAGGCCCGACAGGGGAAGCGGGCGAAGGGCAGAGGTATGGGTACCTGTTCCTCCTCTGGAGGTGGGCGACGGGATCCGAGCATCCGAGCCCCAACAAGCATCGATAGGCCTGGATCGATGGGAGGCGGGGGCGCGGCTCGGACTTCGCCACGCGCTCGAAGGAAGCCGAACCGCCACGCCGCCCATCGAGGACGGGTCGGCGGCGAGCGAGGGCGGGGAGTGAGAAGGAGAAGGCCCTCTCAGAAGGCGGCGGGACTCCTCAGAAGCCCCCCGGCCTTCTGAGAAGCCATCTGCATCTTCGGGGAAAGCTCAGAACACTCCCCAGAAGGCGGTCGGGGGGACATCCGAGCCTTATGAGAAGGCCCGCCCCTCTTTACTTCCTCCATGGAAGGCGAGTCGAAGCCTTCGGATTGGGTTGGGATAATCCGGTGGGCGGTGAGTTTTCAAAATCGGCGATGTCTGCTGCATGTGTCCTGTGCTGGTCGCCACTGCGGGTCCAATTCTTCGAAGTTCGGGCCGCCGTGCTCTGTCCGTGTTGGGACCCACGTTTGGTCTGTAGGTGACGTTTTCTTGCCGTTTTCAAGTCTGGACCCGGCCAGCACGTTGCCCGCGCGGTCAGTAGATGTCACCATGCACGTTTAATACGCTTTCAACCACCCAACAAACCATAGAACATGTTTGAGCCGTTTCGACAATTCGTTTCCCCAAGTTTGGGTACTCTTTTTCTGTCTGTGTTTGGCTAGCGCAAGAATAATAATTCCCCCCGTCTTGGGCTTCTGTGTTGCTGCCGCTTTGGTCGGCCACAACAAGAACAAATGAAAATAAACACGCACACACATACAAACTCACAAACACGCACAAAACGAACAACAAAAAACGCGAATAACAACTACAGGTCGAAAACAACGTGGGCGAATCGAAGTTCATGTCGCCCGGCTCCTCATCGTGACGGCTGTTAGCTATTCATCCGAATGAGAGATCTGGTCCGAGCTGTAACTGCATCTGCATATCATTGCAATATGTCCTCGCGTCCCCCGTCCCATCCTCCTCCCCCTACGCCCTCTCTCGACATCGCTTGTCCTCTCATCCTGCCGATGACACACCAGAATATGCCCACCTGTCCGCGCGATACCATCGTCTTCGCACTGGCTTGACCATCTTTCCATCTTTCTCCAAAATCCTCGGCGACGCCCACGGCAGAATCGATGGGAGGAGCGGCGCTGCAGAGAGCCGAAAGAGGGAGGCAGGAGAGACGAGTGCGGCCAGAGCGAGGGCCTGCGATCAAAACAAGTGGAGCCCGACAAGAACTTGCTGGGGCAACGCTCTCATGACTGGGATCAGCAGTGGCGAGCATTGGGACGCCGCTTGCTGAACCTGCGCTGATTGCTGGGCCCCCCATCAGAGTTTCGAGACAACATTCAAGTCACGCTGCCCAAGCTTTGTTAAAGCGCAGCGGAGAGGTCAACGCAAAAGGGCAGGTCACGTGAGCCCGAAGCACCACATTGATCCTGCGAGCGCGCGACCTACGAGCGCGTGAAGCAACAACTACACGTCGGTCGGAGGAAGTAGGTAAGAAAATGAAGTAGGAATAGGAAGACGGACAGAGTGGACTGGGTCCAGGCCCTCCCAGAGAACAACAGAACACAGCAAAATCAGGTCGACTCTTGAGGTAGGAAGGCGCTTGAAGCAGATTGGGACCTGGGAATCCAAAACATATCCTGCTTTCAACGACCGGCGTGTAACACATCGCGGGAAACCCTGCGCCATTGCGCGACCCCGCGCACGACGCCCGGCCCTCTGCCCCCCGCTGACGGAGGAGCCGCACCGCAGACCCTGCCAGCCTTCCGGGCGCGCGCGTGCGCGGCTCGGCTTATTCGGGCTGGGCGAAAGGGGGGGGTAGCAAAGGGGGGGGTGAGAATCAGCTCACGTAGCTGATTTTCCCGGCGCCTGACGGCGCCCGAGGCGACGATATATCGAGGAATGGACCCCTCGGTGGGGCCGAAACCAGCTGCATGCAGCAAATTTCGTAACCCCCCCTTTCCCAATCCCCCCTTTTCGTCCGGCCCGACTTATGTCGGGCGTGCCCCCCCCCTACAGGGGGATTGTCTACGAAAGATAAGAGATGCCCCAAACATACCCCCAAAAGGTCAAAAAGTCTTCCAAAAATTGTCCCCAGGCTACTTTGGGACTATATTTGGACCATGTTGGGGCTATGTTTCTTTAATTCTTCGTCGAAGATCCCCCAGAATACCCCAAAAAGGTCAAAACATACCCCAAGAATAGTCTCCAGACTATTTCGGGACGATTGTTGGACTATTTTGGGGACATTTTTTTGTTCGTCGAAGAACCCCCCTGTATTGGGCGCCCGAGTTATCCGGGGTAACTCGGGTCCGGGGTAACTCGGGTTCGGAATCCCGAAAAACGAACCCGAGTTAGCCCTGACCCGAGTTACACCTGATGATGTGGGGCTCTGGGCGCCCGAGTTATCCGGGGTAACTCGGGTCCGGGGTAACTCGGGTTCGGACTCCCGAAAAACGAACCCGAGTTAGCCCTGACCCGAGCTACCCCTGATGATTCGGGGCTCTGAGGCTCGGCGGTCGTGCGGGCTCACCTCGCGGGAACGCCGGCGCGCTGGCCTCGGGCACCGCGCGGAGCGTCCCAAAGCAGGAGCGCCCGCGGCGCTCCCGCCGAGCGCTCCTGGGCGCTCCCAGGCGCCCCCAGGCGTTCCCAAGCGTTGAGGAGGAGGAAGAGAAGGAGTAGGAGCAGGAAGGAGGAACAGGAGGAGGAGGAGGGGGGCAAGCACAAGGGCCAGAAGCGCTCCCAGGCGCTCCCCGGCGCTCCCCGGCGCTCCCCGGCGCTCTGGGGTGCGCTCCCGGGCGCGCTCCCAGGCGCGCCCCCAGACGCTCCCAGGCGTTCCCCGGTGCGCTGCCGGGCGCTCCCAGGCGCGCTCCCGGGCGCTCCCCTGGGCGCTCCCGGGGGCGCAAACCGCGGCGCTCCGAGCGAGGAGAGACGCGTGGGCCCGAACGGCCAGCATGTAGCAGCAGGTCGGGCCTGTCCCCCATACAGTTGCAGGCCTAGAAATTAGAGGAAAAAGAACTATGCACATGCACCGATTCTGGCCAGGCCCATCCTGAGCCCAGGATCGGTGCATACGCCCTCCTACCTTGGCCAGGAAGGCATATGCACCGATCCTGGGTCAAAGATGGGCCTTGCCAGGATCGGTGCATGTGCATAATTCTCTTCGCCCGAGAAATGGGCACCAACACCAACACAGGGGGCTGCCTCCACATGGGAAAGATGATCCTAGATTTCGGTGCTGGTGGCAATAGTTCGGTCACCTTGGAGGCCAGAATATTACCACCATCACCGAGATCGGGATCGTCTTCCCTCGGTGGAGGCACACCGCCGATCTTGGTGTTGGCGTCAATCTCTAGACCTCCGATACAGGGCGAGTTTGGGCGAGAAATGGAAAATAGCCAAAACAACAACATAGTCCAAAAATGATCAACAAATAATCGAAGAATCGACCCCTGACTATTTTCCGGACTACTTTTGAACATTCCTCCTGTGGAGGGACAGGCCCCACTTCAGTGTAGCACCGTGCCTGGAGAGAGCAGGCAGAGCGGGCGGAGCGGTGCGGTCTTGTCGTCGGCGCAGCCCTTCAGGTCATACTTGAAGTCCCATCTATCATGATTCTCCAAGGGCGGGGCCAGGTTCGCCATGATGACATAACCTGGCAGGCTCCGACTTGCAGCACTGTACACTTCGTGCGCCCCTGGCCCCGGTGCTGATCTTGGCCGTCTTCTCGTATTCCTCACCATCTGTCCTTCCCTCAGTCTCCTCACATTAGTTTTGCGTGCGCAATGGTGCAATCGCTTGCCCAAATTCACACACCCTCGGCAAGTACACTGATACACAATTCCCGTGGGACGCTACCGCAGAGGAGCGGGCTGTTGGCCCAGCTGCGAGCGCAGTACCAGTTAGCATGATTGCATTACGACGGCTTCTCGGATAGACGGGATTTAAATGCGTGACATCGCGTATGATCGAACGCTTGCCCGCAACGACGGGGGGTCTACGAAGCAGATGAACGTGGGGGCTGCGGGGCCTCAGTCACTGGACTGCTGCACGATGGTGGCCGAGGGCCCATTGGAAAATGCGGTGTCGTGGCCATGGCCATCTGAGCGGCGGCAGTGGGGCCAACAAGCGGTGGCCATCGGGCTGCGAGCTGCTGCCACAGCAACGTGGAGGTATGCTCGCGATGCCACAAGCCCACCTCCATGAGGCCATGGGTCCGTTTGACAGTCCAGCTGTAGTGCTGAGCAGGGACCGACCGCCCCGGCATGCCTATAGTCCTACCACGAAATGTTCTTAGAACCCAGAAATGCTCCAAGAACAGAAACAACGTCCTCAGAACACTGACCCGATGTGGTAAAACCAAGACGGCCTCCGCCAGAAACGTTCTTCTAAGAAGCTCTCGTGGGAACCACAAGAGCTTCTTAGGCCATTGTTGCGCAGGGCTATAGGCGAGCCAGGACGCTTCGCCACTGCTTGATGGCGCAGCCGTGGGCCCGTCTGCGGGGTGGTCCCGGCCACGGCCGTGGGCCCCAGGGGCCACCTGCCGCACCGAGCCAGGGGGGGCCGCGGGCGCGCTCTCCGGCCGAGCAGCGGCCGCGCGGGCACGGAGCCGCTGGAACTGCTCACGCGGCCATGGACCCGTGGGCCGTGTGCTCCTCCTCCTCCTCCTCCTGCTCCTCCTCCTCCTCCTCCTCCTCCTCCTCCTCCTCCTTCAAGCAAGCCGAGCAAGAACCCTTCTAGGCAGAGCCCAGGTAGGGAAAAATAGTGGGTCCAAAAATGTCAAAACATCGTCCCCAGACTAACTATTCCGAGTGTAGATGATACTATGTTTGAATACTCCTCCAGTAGAGGATACTATGTTTGATATGCTAAAATGTGATCAAAAGTCGTCCTCAGACTATTCCCCCCCAAGTAAAAATGTTTGAATGCTCCTCCTGTAGAGGGACACGCCCGATGCAATCCTCAGGCGCTACGTAACGCCTCAGGCGTTATGTAACGCCTCAGGCCGCAGAGTGCCCTGAGCTGCCCGACCCTCGGGTCGGGCGAAAGGGGGGATAGCAAAGGTGGGGGTTGAGAATCAGCTCACGTAGCTGATTTTCCCGGCGCCTCCCAGCGCCAGAGGCGGCTATGTATCGAGGAATGGGCCCCTCGGAGAGGCCGAAACCAGCCGCGTGCAACAAATTTTGTAACCCCCCTTTGCCAATCCCCCCCTTTCGCCCGGCCCGACCTGAGCTGCCCGACCCCGTGAAGGAGCGAGCTGCCAAACCTCCGCCACGCACACAGCCGGCAGACATCAGAGAGCCGGCGCGCGCTCTCCCGAGAGAGAGACGGTGCAGGGCTGAACCCAAACGGTGTTTTTCGTGCTCGTTTTGTTTTCGTCTTTCCCTTTTGTCTTTTTCGTTTTTGTGTTCGTTTCCCTTTTCCCTCACGTTTTTCGTTTTCGTTTTCGTGGTTGTTACCTAACAGCTTTTGCTGATAGGATTCTAGTGGTCTCAAAAGAGAGCAGCAGATGACTCCACAGGGGGGTCGGGGCGGGACCCGGGGCGGTGCCGCCGAAGCCCAAATCGCTTCGGACATCCTCGCAAAATCGCTCTTGGTGCTCCCAGAACTCCATTCCCGGGCCACATTTTGGATGCCCCGAGCCAACTGTAGGCCACTTCGTGCTCTTCAAATTCCCAGAACTCCATTCCTGGGCCACATTTTGAATGCCCGGAGCCAACTGTAGGCCACTTCGTGTTCTTCTAGTTCCCAGAACTCCATTCCTGGGCCACATTTTGAATGCTGAGGCAGGCTGATGCTGCGGCCGAGGCAGGCTGAGGCTGAGGCAGGCTGAGGCTGAGGCCGAGGCTGAAGGCAGACTGAGGCTGAGGCTGAAGCAGACTGAGGCTGAGGCTGAGGCAGGCTGAGGCTGAGGCTGAAGCAGGCTGATGCTGAGGCAGGCTGAGGCTGAGGCTGAGGCTGATGCAGGCTGAGGCTGAGGCAGGCTGAGGCTGAGGCCGAGGCTGAAGGCAGACTGAGGCTGAGGCTGAAGCAGGCTGAGGCTGAGGCTGAGGCAGGCTGAGGCTGAGGCAGGCTGAGGCTGAGGCTGAGGCAGGCTGAGGCTGAGGCTGTGACTGCGACTGCCGTTGCCGCTGCGACTGTCATCGCGAATGCGACTACGACTGCGAGAACAGCAGAATTCTACAACTGGATTTTCATCTGAACCTTAAGGGGAATGCTTTCAGATATGCTTCTACACATCGCTGTTAGGTTGCTTTGCCGGGATAACTTTTCATTATTCGTTTCGTCTCCAATCCGCCTCTGCCTCAGAGCGAGATCGGAACGAAGACGACCCACGCAGTCGCCACAAGACACCGTTTTTGAGTCCACCCCTGCGACGGTGCCTTCCAGCTTGGACGCCCAAGTTATCCAGGGTAACTCGGGTCCGGGGTAACTCGGGTTTGGGTTCCCGAAAAACGAACCCGAATTAACCCTGACCCGAGTTATCCCTGATGATCTGGACGCCCGAGTTATCCGGGGTAACTCGGGTCCGGGGTAACTTGGGTTCGGAATCCCGAAAAACGAACCCGAATTAACCCTCACCCGAGTTACCCCTGATGATCTGGACGCCCGAATTATCCGGGGTAACTCGGGTCCGAGGTAACTCGGGTTCGGAATCCCGAAAAACGAACCCGAATTAGCCCTGACCCGAGTTACCCCTAATGTTTCGGGGCCCTGGACGCCCGAATTATCCGGGGTAACTCGGGTCCGGGGTAACTCGGGTTCGGAATCCCGAAAAACGAACCCGAGTTAGTCCTGACCCGAGTTACCCCTGATGATTCGGGGCCCTGGACGCCCGAATTATCCGGGGTAACTCGGGTCCGGGGTAACTCGGGTTCGGAATCCCGAAAAACGAACCCGAGTTAGCCCTGACCCGAATTACCCCTGATGATTCGGGGCCCTGGACGCCCGAATTATCCGGGGTAACTCGGGTCCGGGGTAACTCGGGTTCGGAATCCCGAAAAACGAACCCGAGTTAGCCCTGACCCGAGTCACCCCTGATGATTCGGGGCTCTGGACGCCCGAGTTATCCGGGGTGACTCGGGTCCGGGGTAACTCGGGTTCGGAATCCCGAAAAACGAACCCGAGTTAGCCCTGACCCGAGTTACCCCGGATGATTCGGGGCTCTGATGACCCGCCTCCCCCATGGCGAGCGCTCCCCGCCATCAGCCCGCCAAAGGGCGCCGGCGCGGGGTGCGGTGGCCCCCTGCGGCCCCCGCCGGGTTCGCCGCCGCGCCGGGGCCCGGCCTCTGCCACCATCACCACACATTGGAGGGGAGGGGGTCCCCCTCCCCCTCCTCCTCCTCCTCCTCCTCCTCCCCCTCCTCCTCCTCCTCCTCCTCCTCCTCCTCCTCCCCCCTGACCCGAGTTACCCCTGATGATTCGGGGCTCCGACCAGCGGGCTGCTCCGCGCGCAGGCTCGGGCGGGGGCCCTCCCGTGCTGCGCAGTGCCGCGGCCCGCTCTCTCCGAGCCCCCCGCGGGAGCTCGGCTGCTCCGCGCGCGCCGGCGGCGAGGCGCCCGAGAGGAAGGGCCGGGGGAGCGAGGGCGGGAGGGAGGGAGGAGAGGGGAGGGGGACGAGGAGGGCGGAGGAGAGGAGAGGAGGAGAGGAGAGGAGGGAGGGAGGGAGGGAGGGAGGGAGGGAGGAGAGGAGAGGAGGAGGACGAGGAGGGCGAGGAAGGGGCGGCGGGAGGGCAGCAGAAGGGAGGAGGGCGAGGAGGACGAGGACGGCGAGGAGGACGAGGGCGGCGAGGAAGGGGGAGGAGGCAGGGGACAGGGAGATGGGCAGGAGGGCGGGCGAGCGGGGCGGAGGCAGAAGCCTCGAACGCCCGCGGCGGGGCCGCTCCCGCGCCGGCACGCCACGGGCCCCACGCGGTGGGGCCGCACGAGAGGCAGACGAAGCTGAAAGGGGGCGGATCGGGGCGAGTGTCGGCAGCCTCCTCCTCCTCCTCCTCCTCCTCCTCCTCCTCCTCCTCCTCCTCCTCCTCGCTCCTCGCTCTCGTCCTCCTCCTCCTCGCTCCTCGCTCCTCGTCCTCTTCCGCCTCCCTCCTCCCTCCCCCTCCTCCTCCTCCCTCCTCCCTCCTCCTCCTCCTCCTCCTCCTCCTCCTCCTCCTCCTCCTCCTCCTCCTCGGCGGCAATCCGTGGTGGCAAGGGCCAGTGAGGGCCGGCAAGATCGCCACCGCGGCGCGGGCGGGGGAACGCCATAGGGAAAGTGGCAGAGGCACCGGGCGCCGGCTTGGGCGCATATACCGCGCCCGCGGGCGGCGGGGCCGAGAACATCTGCCGGTGGCCGCGTCTCGGAAGTGCATGCCCGCCGGGCCCACAGAAAAAGGGGGCGCCCAGGTTCGATGCTCCTGGAGAGAAGCGCGATCATGTCTCTCCGCATGCCTCTTGCGCGTTGTCCTCCTCCCCTCTCGATGGCAAGCCTGCCGCGCTCACCTGTCTTCAGGTCTGGCACCACGACAGCTGGACGAAGAGGAGATCTCACGGGACGCGTCGAGGCACACGCGTGGCAGCAGCACGGGCACAGGCGGAGCTCCGCGAGCATACATCCCCAGGACAAGAATGCTTTCCTTGTGGGTCCGGAATGACGGCTTGAACTCTTGAACAGACACTTATGACATAA